CCTGGAGAACACCTTCTCCTGTTTAATCATTAAAAGTGAGAAACCAATCCTAGTTGTGCACAACTTCGCCAGAGCAGGAAACTTTTGAATCGACAGAACGCCTAGATCCTTTTCATTTAAGATTTCTCCTCCTTGGGAAGATTAACTTAAGCCGTTTTCCCAACCCATCCAGGAGAACCCCAATAATAAAATGGAAAATGATTAACCTCGATCAAAAAAAAATGTTAATTGATGTGAGATCATACTAGCTGAAATACTAAATTCTTAGGATAAAGAGCTAAGCTACGAATTTTCACACAACAATTTATATCTCCCTAAAACTTGGTTGAGATCATTGTGAATGAATACGTTTTATGTGTTTTTTTTCTTCTCAAAATTAATTTCCTTAATTCTCTTTGACCGGTTAAAACTGTAACATGCATATTGATGAACATGTTTCGGCTGTGTCTCTACTGTTTATCAATGAACATATCTATACTGTTTCTCTGTTGTTTATCAATGAACATATCTCTGTTTTATCTCTAATGTTTATCAATGAACTCCTCTCTGCTGTGTCTCCACTGTTTATGAATGAACATATCTCTGCTGTGTCTCTTCTGTTTATCAATGACCAATGAACATGTCTCTGCTATATCTCTACTGTTATCAATGAACATATCTCTGTTGTGTCTCTTCTGTTTATCAATGAACAATGAACATGTCTCTGTTGTGTCTCTTCTGATTATCAATGAACAATGAGCATGTCTCTGTTGTGTCTCTTCTGTTTATCAATGAATAATGAACATGTCTCTGCTTTGTTTCTACTGTTTATCAATGACCATTTCTCTGTTGTGTCTCTTCTGTTTATCAATGAACAATGAACATGTCTCTGCTGTGTCTCTTCTGTTTATCAATGAACATGTCTCTGTTGTGTCTCTTCTGTTTCTCAATGAACAATGAACATGTCTCTGTTTTGTCTCTTCTGTTTATCAATGAACATGTCTCTGTTGTGTCTCTTCTGTTTATCAATGAACAATGAACATGTCTCTTCTATGTCTCTACTGTTTATCAATGAACATGTCTCTGATCTATCTCTTCTGTTTATCTGTTTGAAAGTTGCAAATAAATGTTAAATGACTGAAATAGAATGAATAGCTTCCTGAAGAGTTTTAAATGAGTCGTGAACAAGAAAATATGCGTAGAAGGGGGAACACGCAAATCTCAAGGTTCGTGACAAATTTGATAAAAATTACACACTTCTTAACTCAAGCCAATGCGAACAGTTTTTTTCCAACCCAATTTAATTCATTTTCACCAACTTTTTCAGTCAATTTTAACCTCTTTTGACCCTTTTTTATTCATTTAATTAAGTTTTAACTCATTTATTCAGCCAATTTTACCCATTTCAACCTTTTTCACATTTTTAACCCATTTCCTTCCATTACAACACTTTTTCACATTTTAAAGGTTAAAGCCGTAGTGTAAACAGATTTATGTGTTGAACATTTTTCAGTTTTACAATCTTAGTTGGGCGTGACTAAGGAGCTAACAGAAAGATCTAAATCAAGCTTTATTGCGCGAAAACATTTGAACTTAAAGGTATTTAGGGAAAATAAAGACTTTGAATTATTCCGGTTTTCAACAACTAAATCATTATTATTCCGGTTTTCAACATATAAATCATTCTTATTCTGGTTTTCAACTTCTAAATCATTATTATTCATGTTTTCAACAACTAAATCATTATTATTCTGGTTTTCAACATCTAAATCATTATTATTCATGTTTTCAACAAATAAATCATTCTTATTCCGGTTTTCAACAACTAAATCATTATTATTCCGGTTTTCAACAAATAAATCATTCTCATTCTGGTTTTCAACATATAAATCATTCTTATTCTGGTTTTCAACATATAAATCTTTATTATTCTGGTTTTCAACATATAAATCTTTATTATTCTGGTTTTCAACATCTTATTCTGGTTTTCAACTTCTAAATCATTCTTATTCTGGTTTTCAACATATAAATCTTTATTATTCTGGTTTTCAACATCTAAATCATTATTATTTCGGTTTTCAACAACTAAATCTTTATTATTCTGGTTTTCAAGAACAAAATTCTTATTTTGGTTTTCAACATATAAATCAATCTTATTATTCTGGTTTTCAACATCTAAATCATTATTATTTCGGTTTTCAACAACTAAATCTTTATTATTCTGGTTTTCAAGAACAAAATTCTTATTTTGGTTTTCAACATATAAATCAATCTTATCACGATTTTCAACAACTAAATCTTTAATATTCTGGTTTTCAACAACTAAATCTTTATTATTCCGGTTTTCAACAGCTAAATCTTTAATATTCCGGTTTTCAACAGCTAAATCTTTAATATTCCGGTTTTCAACAACTAAATCTTTATTCTTCTGTTTTTTAACAAATAAATCATTATTTTTCCGGTTTTCAACAACTAAATCTTTATTATTCTGGTTTTCAACAACTAAATCTTTATTATTCTGGTTTTCAACAACTAAATCTTTATTATTCTGGTTTTCAACAACTAAATTCTTATTCTGGTTTTCAACATATAAATCAATCTTATTACGATTTTCAACAACTAAATCTTTAATATTCTGGTTTTCAACAACAAAATCTTTATCATTCCGGTTTTCAACAGCTAAATCTTTAATATTCCGGTTTTCAACAACTAAATCTTTATTCTTCTGTTTTTTAACAACTAAATCGTTATTTTTCCGGTTTTCAACAACTAAATCTTTATTATTCCGGTTTTCAACAGCTAAATCTTTAATATTCCGGTTTTCAACAACTAAATCTTTATTATTCTGGTTTTCAACAACTAAATCATCCTTATCACGGTTTTCAACAACTAAATCTTTATTATTTCAGTTTTAACAACTAAATATTTTTTTAATATCTGGTGTTGTATTTCTCCGGACATTTTATTGATGTCTGTGTCTGTTTGTGTATCTTAAAAAAGTTCTAACTCAATATATTTACATTGCACTTGCTTGGGAAACCAACTTTGCCTGGAAACTAAGTTTTCCCTTTGGAAATCAACCCCTCGCCATAGAAATTTAAAACAAAACTAAAAACATTCCCGTTGTTCTACCAAGTTCCCCAATTAAAATTTGAGTAAATTAGGAAAGGGGTTCATGAGTTATGATCTGACATCCAAACAAACGGACAGACAGGCTATCAGTAATTACTGCCTGACGCTTGTATATGTATACTTTGCTGGTCTGTGTGTTTGTTTGGTTTGTATCCAATAAACGTCAAAACAACTGAACCGATTGGGCCCAATTTTGTTGTGGGACCTCACATGACCCCAGGGAATGTTTATGGATGATCGAATTTTCAAACATTTTCCTCTGAAAAAATTCAATTTAAAGAAAAATTTTGAAAATCCAAGATTTTTTATAATAAATTCCGCGAAAGTTTTGGTTTTACAAGGTATACAAAGAAAAAATCTTCACAATTGAAAAAGAAGATGGAATAAATATTTCTACAAGTTTTATTATGCCAATTCTAACATAATTCTTAAATTATATTGTATATATTATAATGTAAACCTTCATGATCCTGAATTTGAAAACTTGAAAACCTATAATTGATACTTGAAAACTTTGTAGGGTAGCTAAATTTCTTTTGATATCAGATAGAAAATATGTTCAAATGTTCAACTTTTTTTTGTATCCAAGGTCAAATTGTTATCTCTGTGGAAGGTCTTTTTTAACCCGTTTACCCTAAATTCCTACTGCAAAGAAATACGTAAGTTTGATTGTACTGTTTCATTGTTTGTTAAACACCCCTGACCCTTTAGTAAAAGTAAATTCAACCTAAAGTCTGACCGCGTCAACCTTGTTGCACCGGCTAGTCCTATTGAGTGTCTGCGTTATTCACCTAATGTCCGGGCGATACGGTACAAACTGGGACCGGAATGATTGACCCGGCTCGGAAATTCAAATGTACTACGGCTGCCCGTGTTATAGATAATTTGTGTCAAATAAAAAAGATTACCCCCTCAAGGAATAAACCATATTAGTATTTATCCAATATTCGAATTCCATGAAAATCTTGACGATATGCGGCCAAATCTTTATTTTTTACCTCAATGATATGGAAAGGAATATGGCCCGGAAATTTGATGATAAAGCGCCCTAAAGGACTTGAGTTTTTGCCACAAACTATGATTTTCTAATTTCAATATCGTTGCAACCCAATCTTGTAGAACTTTAATATTTCAAACTATGAATGCTTTTAGATCAAATAATGTAAGTTTGAAATACCAAAGGTTTACATCATAAGGTTGCAAAGATATAGGTTTTTTTAAAACTGAATTTGTGGCAAAGACTCAATTCCTTTTTCTATCTAAAACATTGGTTTCCATTAAAAGAGAAGAATAAAACAATTATAGTAAATATTTAGATGATTGATTATTGATTGTAAGGTTTATTTTTGGTTTGCGGGGTTATGTGTGTGTGTGGAGGGGGGGAGGCGGGGCGGGTGTAGGATTAAAATGGGGAAGGGGGGATAGGCGGTGCAAAGTTAAGGGTTGGGGTGTGGTTCGGGTTCGGGGGTAATTCATATTTGAACATTACCCTCGAACTCAGTATTCCTAAAATTGATTTTGTTTACATACATTCTGTAGTACATCGTTGTACACTTCCCGTGTTTTATACATCTTGGTAGATTCCCATTATACACATTACTTGGGATTTCTAGGAATTTTCTATGACATCATATTTCGATATGATAGATTGATAGTTTTTGGGGTATAAGCGACAATATGAATATTCCATATAAAACACAGACATATCGATAGATAGATTGTTATATACAATGTATGGTGATAGATAGATAATGATAATAATAATATAAAGATAATAAAGATAATAATATAAAACACAGACATATCGATAGATAGATTGTTATATACAATGTATGGTGATAGATAGATAATGATATATACAGCTGGAGATTTGAATGCCCGACACAGGAAAGGATTAGTAAGGTTTTCTAACTCTAGAAGTGAATGTATTTATTTACGAACTATATATATATATATAGGAAATTAATAGCAAAAAATAATTGTGAAAAAGTTGTGAATCTTCAATAGTGAAAATGTGGTTTCTCCTCATCGCTACATCGTTACTTCATTTTACAAAGGTGAATGTATTTATAGATATACACATATATGTGTTAAATATTGATAAAATTCTTAAAAATAGATAGACGCGCAGGAGATCGTTTTCTGTTGGACGATCTTTTATAATGTCAACCGATTTAGCGATTTCCATAATTTTTCAAAAATGACGTTGATTTTTTCATTTTCATTTTCTGTCCAGAAATTTATTACTTCCATACTTCCATATATGGGCTCGGAGTAGGATATACAGGGGTACTATTGTGACTCCGCCATGACCGTCTTTAAATGAAGGATCTCTTATAACAAGCCTCCGTGCCTTTAAGAGTAAAACTTGAATTTTACTTATACATATTATCCGAGAGGGTAAATATTGAATATTAATATCTATCATGATACAACTCAATTATTACACTAGATACAATATCTGAGACCGAATTTAAAGAATTTGAGCCGCGGTTTAAGTTTAAGCTCGGCTCAAATGTGGTTGGTTCCACTTAAAATTGCATTCAATGTTTCAAGATATAAGCCAGCGCTCAATTGAAACCGGTTTTTGGCGGATTTTAGACGCGGCTCAAAATCATTAAATTCGGGCACTGTTGACATAATTTAAATATTTTTAGAGCTGTAACAATATTTTTGACGAGCTAGGAGGGAAATTCAGGTTAGATTTATAATGTATAATCTAATTAGATTTGCAAAAAGATTAATTCTATTTAACAAACAAAGCTATTTTTTTTAAATACTAAAATTCTTAACATAAATTTAGGGATATCTCATGAAGCATACTTTCTGTTCGTTATTTTTGATAAATTATAATTGCAACTTTTTCGACGTAAAAAATATTTTTTCTTGGAAACTTTATTTGTTAATTTTAGCTCTGGATCTATGATTTCCCGGCCTAATATCATCAAACCTTGCGAAGGTAAACTTTAATTTATAAATATTAAATCAATATGCTTAATGATTGCTGATGGCAGTGCATATTATGTTCATCTTGAAATAATAAGTGTTTTGAGGTTTAAATTGTTAACACTAGAACTTTCAGATGAATATATCTAAAACGCGCGATCGCGAACTAAGAAAAGTGTCAAAAGTGCCATTTTGTCAAGATCTGGTATATCTGATTATCATACCATAATAAGTTACAAAAAAAAACTGTAGATCTAAATTTAAGCTAGTTTAGTTTTCACCTCAAACCCACGTGTTCGAGGTATTTGTTGCTAGCATTAGACAATTTCGTAAATTTTCTGAAAAACGATTTTTGGTCTAAGAGAACTGATTACTCACCTCAAATTTGTCAAATCCTAATATTTTTGCAACATTTGCATTCCAGGAATTCTGCCAGATCAAATTGGCAAAATTTGAAAAATCAAAGGTTTACACATCAGGTGGCAAACATGAAAATATAATTAGAGTTTTAGGCAGGTAATCAGTTACTTAGAAAAAGGCTTCAGAGTTTCAAACTAAAAAACATTACAAGATTTTTTCTGATTATTATTCCTAATAAGGAATGGACTTTTGCGAACACCCTGTATTCTATCCTGAAGATCAAATGTTAAAGGTAAAATTTTTTTTTTTATCTCAAAAATATCAAACCAAAGGGTAAAGAAATCAAATATTTATACATTATTAAAGGCGTCTGTACTGTGCTTTCTATTTTTCGAAACTCGGACATAAACATATTAAATATTTTATATTAAATATATTCTTTATTTTATTTCTCCAATATTGTAATGTAATGTGTGATGTCCAGGTGTTATGTATTATTGATGTTTTATGTTATTTATCGATATTTATACAATCCATAATAATCTGGATTGTGCATAGTACAATGCATACAAATTATAAGCCTTTTTAAAAACTAAACAGCTTGTAATTTCCGTCTTTATAGAACTCCACAAGTTTTTGATTTTCCATTATTAAAAATCTGTACTAAGGTTATACGTACAGCCAAGGCCCAACAAAAACATTGAACTTCTTGAAATGTTGGATTAAATAGGACAGAAATAATTTCGTAAATCGATTTGAGTTATAATAACATAAAATACACATAAATATAGCTTTAATTTCGTCTTACTATTCCACAAATTCTAACTGTAGGTTTTGAACAGACCTGATCAATTACTAAACTATTCTAGGTTTTGAACAGACCTAATAAACAGCTGAACTATTTTAGGGTTTGAACAGACCTGATAAACAGCTGAACTATTTTAGGTTTTGAACAGACCTGATAAACAGCTGAACTATTCTAGGTTTTGAACAGACCTGATGAAGAACTAAAATATTCTAGGTTTGAACAGACCTGATCAATTACTAAACTATTATAGGTTTTGAACAGACCTGATAAACAGCTAAACTATTTTAGGCTTTGGACAGACCTGACGAATATCTAACTATTTCAGGTTTTGAACAGACCAAATGAATAACTAACTATTGTAGGTTTTGAACATACCTGATGAAAAACTGAACTATTCTAGGTCTTTAACAGATCTGATCAATAACTAAACTATTCTAGGTCTTGAACAGACCTGACAGACCTGATGAATATCTAACTATTCTAGGTTTTGAACAGACCTGATGAAGAACTAAACTATCCTGGTTTTGGACAGACCTGACGAATAACTAACTATTCTAGGTTTTGAACAGACCTGATGAATAAGTAAACTATTCTAGGTTTTGAACAGACCTGATGAATAAGTAAACTATTCTAGGTTTTAAGCAGACCTGATGGCTCGCTATGGAGAATGTTGTTTGAACCGCTAGAGCTGGTTTGGGAAAATAAAAGGCAAACAAATCAAACATTTTTTCAATATTTTGGTTACGGTAAGTTACGGGCATAGAAACCCTCAACTTTAATTTTGATCAGTTCGAACTGAATTTTCACGGTATATAAATGATCAGACCCTGAGTAATGTTTGGATTGAAGGCACCGGAGTATGCATCCTGCAGAGGTGGCTGCTCTGCAACCCGTCCCGGAAAAACTTTGTCCAACGAATTCGTCCTGGATTATTCCTCGGCTGGCTAAAAACTGGAAAGGTAGGAATTCTTGCCACACAAAACCACGTCAGGGTTACCACAACCATCCACGCAAAACCATGTCAGGGTAACCGGCCACTTAAAACCAAGTCAGAGAAACAGCCGGGCAAAACCATGCCAGGGTAACCATCCATGCAAAACCAAGTCATTATAACCTTCCAAGCAAATCTAAGTCAGGGTCCGAGCCACGCAAAACCAAGTTAGGGTAGCAATCCACGCCAAACCAAGTCACTGTAACCATCCACGCAAGACCATATCAGGGTAACCATTCACACAAAACCAAGTCAGGGTAGCCAGCCACACAAAACCAAGTCAGGGTCCCCAGCCACACAAAACCAAGTCACTGTAACCATCCACGCAAGACCATATCAGGGTAACCATTCACACAAAACCAAGTCAGGGTCCCCAGCCACACAAAACCAAGTCAGGGTCCCCAGCCACACAAAACCAAGTCAGGGTCCCCAGCCACACAAAAACATTTCAGGGTAACCAGCCACACAAAACCTTGTCAGTGTTCTAGCCACGCAAGACCATGTCAGGGTAACCAGCCACACAAAACCAAGTCATTGTAATGATCCACGCAAAACCAAGTCAGGGTAGCCAGTCACACAAAACCAAGTCTCTATAATGATCCACGCAAAACCAAGTCAGGGTAACCAGTCACACAAAAACAAGTCAGGGTAACGATCTACGCTAAATTACCCATATTTGTTAAGGTGACTGGAAGTATATAATAAACCGACCGAAGAACCATGAGGAGTATACACAGTTTGTTTATGTAACTACATGTACAAGGTAATAAACATTATGATGAGTTCTCACAATAAACGGGAAGTACCAAAAGCGCTGAAAAACTGAAACTGATTCCACTTAAATTTAATTAAACTGTGATTAAATTGCAGATTTAAGGAAGCCATGATACAGTGATAACCAGAAATTTGTGAACTTATTTTCGTCTTGTTCCTATGAAATGTCGCCTTAAAGGAACTGAGTTTTTCCCACAAATTCTGATCTTCTAATACCTGTATCTTTGCAACCTGATGGTCTAAACCTTCAATATTTCAAACTATCATTATGTGATCTAAAAGAATTCATAGTTTGAAATATCTAAGGTCTCCGACATTGAATTGCACATATATTGGGATTAGAAAATCCGAGTTTGTGGCAAAACTCACTTCCTTTTGTAAAAATTTAGGTGAGAACTTCAGTGTTAAGTTTCCTTTATCTTAAACATTTGATCTCGATATTCAATATGTGCGTTTTTAAATTTGAGGACCGATTCTTGATCCCTTCATTTGAGTTATTCCTGCTGGGCACGAGCACAACAGAATATCGAAGAGGATTAAGATTAGTCCGTAGGCTTGCATCTGATGAAGTAGAAGATCAAAATTTAATCCTGAGATTCACAACATATAAGCTTTGACCTTAGAACAATTTCAAAATAAATCAGTTTTAAGAATTTCCCAAGTTTAAAGAAAGAACTAAGACGATAACCATTCCCTGTTTTCTGATTTTCACTGAATAAATGGCCAAAAAACACAGGGCTAATTTATCCCTAATCAACGAGTTATTTATTACAGATCTATCGTCCTAGATGTTTAAAAAGCTGTAAACAGATATGTTTTTTAATTCTAGCTAATGCAGTTTATATAAACAGATATGTTTTCTAACTTTAGTTATTGCAGTTTATATAAACAGATATGTTTTCTAACTCTAGTTAATGCAGTTTATATAAACAGTATAAAGTATTAAAGATAAACTAGGAAATTACAACAAAATGAGCTTGTAATGAATAACAAGTGTTTTTCCGGAAATTAAAATTTTAATCTAAATCTAACATTTCATAGTCTCATATCAATCCTTCTATACTTCTATCCTTCTATCCTTCTATCAACCTGTCCTTCTGTCCTTCTGTCCTTCTATCCTACTATCCATCTATCCTTCTATCCTTCTATCCTTGTATCCTTCTATCCACCTATCCTTCTATCCTTCTATCCTTCTATCCTTCTATCCTTCTATTCTTCTATCTTTCTATCCATCTATCCTTCTATCCTTCTATTCTTCTATTCTTCTGTCATGCTATCCTTCTATTCTTCTATCCTTATATCCTTCTATCTTTCTATCTTTCTATCCTTCTATCCTTCTATCTCTCTATCCTTCTATCCTTCTGTCCTTCTATCCTTCTATCCCCCTTTCCTTCTATCCTTCTATCTCTCTATTCTTCCATCCTTCTATCCATCTATCCTTCTATCCTTCTATCTTTATATCCTTCTATTCTTCTATCCTCCTATCCTTCTATCCTTATATCCTTTTATTCTTCTGTCCTTCTATCCTTATATCCTTCTATTCTTCTATCCTTACATCCTTATATCCTTCTATTCTTCTATCCATCTATACCTTCTATCCTTCTATCCTTCTATCTTTCTATCCGTCTATTCTTCTATCCTTATATCCTTCTATCCTTCTATCTTTCTATCCGTCTATTCTTCTATTCTTCTATCCTTCTTATTTAGAGCTGGAGCCTGTGATCCTTACGGTGATATTCTGAACAGTCATGTTAATTCGGAGTGCAGGTAGATACAGGGTAGATACAGGGTAGATAATAATAATAATAATAATCATATGTATATTTCAAACTAGTTTACAGGTTAAATGATATTAAAAATATAGGTACAAATTATGGTTATGGGATAAAAGCAGTAATATATTACATATTTACAATTACAGACCCTAGTTTAAAGTCCTAAGATCAATAACAATAATAAAAATTAATAGTGATAATAATTTGCGATAGGAATGATAATGATGATAATGGATGATGATAATGATGATAATGATGATAATGATGATAATGATGACAATGATGATAATGATGATAATGATGATAATGATGATAATGATGATAATGAGGATAATGATGATAATGA